GGACGGGACCGAGCTGTCCCTGCCATAGCTGCGGGCTGTCCCGGCCCGTTCCCGGGGATCCGGACGGGACCGAGCTCTCCCTGCCATAGCTGCGGGCTGTCCCGGCCCGTTCCCGGGGATCCGGACGGGACCGAGCTGTCCCTGCAGCTCTGCGCTCTCCGTCCCGCTAGAGGAGATGCCTGGAGGGCGCCGCTTCCCCCGAGCCGCCCCCGTTCGAAGAACGGGAAGGAAAAGTTACTGTGCTGCCCCTTCCCAGCAGAGCCTGTGCCGTGAATTCTTGGTGCCCTCGGCGGGCTCCTGCAGTAACTGGGTCGTGCTCGCACACAAAGGTTGTGGAAAGACTTTTAAATAAACCCGTTAAAATTATTGCTGTGTGAATACTCACTGTTTGTAAGGGATTCATTAATAAGGGGAGCGCGATTGCCTTCGTAATTCCATCCCTTTTTATCTTTCCTGCATTAAAACATAATGTGAGGACTAATTCCCATGGCCCGATTAACTTTTAGAAAACGACAGAGAATTCCGGGCTCCCACTGCTTCCTTTGATACCCATGCGTGTTAAAATCAGGTTTGCATCGGCAGTAAAAATTCACAGCAGTTTTTCCTGAAGAGATCAAGTGCATCTCGTTCAAATTAAGATTTTGATAGACAAATTTTTGTGCCAAAATAAATCTTACTTGGCTAGTGGTATTGTGTGTTGCGGTCTTCAGTAGGGTTTTTAGCGATGCTTACAGAAGGTGGCGTTTTACTGTCACATGTGCCCTAAGAGAACAATTTCTCCTGGTATTTTAGTGCAGTAACGATGCAATGTGGTTCACAGTTAAGAACTGACGACAAACAGAGAAAATGCACTAGTGAACCCTGTGTGGTTTTGCCTCCTCCCTAAGCATGCTGAGCTCCGGTACATTAAAATTTTAACATGTCTACTGATTGCTAATGCAATAGCAAAGTGGTGTTTTGGACCCTGTGGTGCTTTCCAGATAGTGCAGATGATGGTGACTTGAAGCAAAAAATACAAGAATGCATGTTTACATCCGCAAGTTGAATATGTATGGCCAGTAATGACAATGAGAAAGCAGCAGAATGGACAATATAGTTCCAAACTACCTAAACTAAAATATGGGGTGTCTAGGAATTACATTAGCTATGCATAATGAGGTATAGCAAGCAGCTAGGTGTAACTGCCCCAATTTTTAAATTTTTTTTCTACAGTACAATGCATATGCTTAACAGCTGACAGAGTTTGATTTGTTACTACCTTTCCTGTTACAGACTGCCTACAAGCTCACAAGAGCCTTTGAAAAGAGACTATCCAGCTCTGCATCTGGTTATAAGTGGACATGAAACTCCTTTGAAATTCTTTGAAACTTCTTACTGCTGCTTGTCCACATAGAGCCAGTGAAGGTTTCCAGTGAGGCCGTCACACCTGAGACTGAGTAATAATGGCTTAGCAGGGGTACTTCAAACCACAGTTATCTTACCATCTGCTATGTGTCCTGGAAGACCCAGTGATGAAGAGGTTCATAGAGTTCATCTCAAATCCTGTAAATCAGGTCATAAAAGTCTTCCTCTCCAATAAGGACTAAACTTTTTTAATAACGTTAAATCTTACATAACCTTAAATACTGTTATAGGTGGCAGGTGCACTTAGGCTTGAACTAGAAAAGCAGAATGAAGCGTGTGCTTTCTTTTTTTGCCTTTCCAGGAACAGGTCAATTTTGTTCCAAGATAAACTAGACAGTTCTTTGAAGTATGACAATTTAAAAAAAAAAAAATAAAAAAGGTTGGAATGGAGAAAACTCTTTGTGTCTAAGAAGTAGACAGCAGGAAAAGCACTCCAAGATGTGCTTTTCATCCTGAAAGATAGATTATGACATGATGAAATCACATTTAGACAAGATGTCCTGATACTCAGAACACAGTTGTCATAGTAACAGAATTTATTTATCCTTTTCTTCCTGATCCAATCAAAAAGAAATACAAACAACAGGGGACATACAGGGAAATTGTTCCCAATTACTACTTCTTACCTTCACATCCCCCTTCTGAAAAGCCTTTTAATACACAAATAGGTAGCCAAAACTCCTTTCTGTCATTGTCTCATACATGTTGAAGTAAAAAAATTAAGGTTTTTTTAATGCTCATTAGTTATTTACCTTTGATTACTTTTTTTTTATATCTTTCTGTATACTCACCTGAAGTACCTCTTATTTACCATAGGCAATATTTCTTAAGGCAGACTGTAGCAGTTCCAGTACTCAGGTTAGGACAAGCACAGATAATATTTGCTATATTAGTTCCTTTACAGATTAGGGCAATAAACAGACTCTTTTCTTGCAAAGGACAAGTGATTATGTATTAGTATTTTTGTGAGGATGAGTTCTGCAGTGTGTTCCATCAACAACAGTGACACAGCACAGTAACCTGTCAGCTGAGGGAGACAGGCCAAGCTACAATGCTAAGTCCAGACTCAATGGTAAAACTTCCATTGTTTATTAAAGCCAGCTATTAATCCTCTGACTTGCATTGGAAAAACTCCTGTGTTGACAAAACTGCCTTCCATGTTGCCACATCTTCTGCTGCAGGACAAGAGCAGTGCATGGGAAGCAGGAGCTCAAGATGGACTGTGCTGTGCTGAAGTCTCTCAGTGCTGTGGAGTGCAGTGTTGGGAGTTTGCTACCAAACAGCTGCAAGGCAACACAAAAAAAATTTGATCTTGCAAGTGTCTCAGGACCTTCCGTGGCTTAGGAAGGGATCCAGGCAAAATGTAGAGGGTTTAGTTTTACAGAAATGGAGGCCAAGAAGTTCTAATACTGCTTAGTCAAGTAAGTGTGCACAAAGGAGTTTTGGGAGTACATCACCATCCCACTGCACTATGCTTAGCCATAGGGAACCTCAGGATGCAAAACTGCTGCTAGAGAAAACCTGTTTGCATTAACAAATGTTAATCTCATTTGGTATTTCTGGTGCTTCCTTTTTAAAATAGTCCACTTTCTCCTTACAGAGAAGAGCAAAATACATTTTTTTAAGTACTCCACCAACATAGCATTTAGTACTGAAGGACAGTTTTGGTTTTTCATTTCATTCAGGTTCGTTTTGTTGTTTTTTTTCATTTTTGCATGTTTGTTTTAATTTAACAATATTTCTTAAGGATATCACAGAACAATAAACTGACATTGTCCTTGCAGTCTTTTCATCCTTTTTAAACTATTTCCTCCTTTGTTTAATGTAATCTCTATTTTCCTCCCTTAAGTACAAGAATAATGGATTCTAACTTTCCTACCTCCATGTTTATTCTCCATTAGAAAGATTTAGCCTTTAAATCCATTTGCACTTGCCGAATTACCCCAGGCTTTTTCTTCTTAAACTCCCACGGCTTTGCTTTGTATTTCCCTTTTGTTCTTCAATAATCTAGAAAGAAACAATTATCTTACCGACATCTATGGTGGTTAAAAACAACCACAAACAAAGAAAAAGACCAAAAAAACCCCCCATAAATTACTTCTGCGTAACTTTAATGTGATGCTATAACAGGACTTGATTTTTTTTTTTCCATGTTGGACATGGAAAACATTTTTTCCAGGTGAATTTGAAAAAATCCAAGAGACAGCACTAATGACTCAAAGCTAATACTCTCTTAAACAGAGTTAAAAATGAAACAAGTTAAATATTCCATCTTGCAAAGAGTTTTCTGAATGACTCTTTTCTAATGGCAATTCTAGCACAGAAACTGGTTTGTGAATTTTACACAGATTAAACAGGTTGGTTTTTACACAGGTTGGGTTTTTTTTCTATAAAAAGATGCGCTTTTGTGAATTTTTTCCACATGGATAAACTGCTGAAGGATGGATTAAAAACATTCTGAAGTAATTCTTGAGGTATGGAAAACCATTGTAGTAAATTTCTTGGTGAAGGATTTCAGTGTCTTTGGATATAATCTGCTAAAAAAATACAATTAGAGTGTTTACATGTATTCTTTTTGAAAAAAACAGGTATTTTTGTCTCAATGGTAAAAACCTATCACATACCCTTCCCTTTCCAGATATAACACAAAATTATATACAATTTAACTTAATTTTATCATTGCTGTTTCATTCAACATGGGAGTTGAAAAGGACAAAACCAAGTTTACTTCTCAAAGGAGTTTACTCTTCAAAGGAGTTCAGATCTGAGTAAACATTTAGCCACATTCAGTAATCACAGAGATTATGAACAGTACCTATATGCAGGCAGGACATGAATGTTAAACTTAGCCAAAAGTCATAAGGAAACTACAACTCCTACTTTGATTTTTAGGTTTTCAATATTTTCACAATGGCATCTGTTCTTTCACCAATTTTGAAAAAACAAACACTCCATTAAATTACTTTCTATTGGCACGTAAAAAAATTTGCATGCTATAGTATTTCTCCACCTCTCCCACAGAAGGACCAATTTTTTTCTGGAATCTTTCTTCTTTCTGATTTCAGGCAAGCTATGTCTATCTTCTCATCTCTGTATCTAAGGGCACCTCAGGCTCACACCACCCATCTGGACCCCTGGAAGACTGTTCCTCACTCCCAAGCTGAGAAGCTCTTGAACTAGCAAGAAACCGAAGAGGAAATGGAGAAAATGTTTTTTACACACTAATTTATACACTGTTCTTTAAATACATTTTTATTAAAACATTTGCTTTTAATGATTTGTAGAAATCCACAACCTTGGAGCCATTAGAAGCTGGTGACTTGCTTCAAAGAGGTAAAAGGAAGAAAAGGTACATTCTGCTTTGGCAGAATTTTTTTTCTCACTTTTAAAATTAACTGGTTGAATTCAGTAAGTTATTGTGAACTTGTCAAGATTCTTCACTTTGTCCCTTTTAAAGAATGCTTTAAAGAAAACTACTTTCATAAACAGACAGTAATCACAGATAAAGGTTCAGCATGCGCGAAGGGCTGAAGTACAGGGAAACCACAAGGAGCAAACAGGTGTTACGAGATTGTGCTTTTAAGAAACTACCCACAGAGACAACAGTGAGTGCAGATGAAAGACTACTTGAAACTGAACAAGAACTAAAATGCCGCGGCTACAGTAGTTCTAGGTCACCTAACAGACAGATACAATTTAAAGTTCACATTCAGTATAAATGAGACAATATGCCTGTGATTTTGCAGAGAGGCAAGCTGCAGCACAATGCCTGAACTCTCACAGAAAGCCTGCTGAGCTGATACCAGGGTTGGCACGACTGACTCGCTCAGGAATTAGGCACCAGATTTTAAAGTCTTGTGTTCATACGTTGGGTGGTCTGCTCTGCAAGACGAGTGGAGCAGGAAGGTTGGTATCTGTGTCTGTGAAGATAGAAGGAAAACTTCTCTACCACTGGCAATATTGAGCAACAGCATTAATAAAACTTTGCCTTTTGGCATATGTTGCCAGCTTCTTCACCCAACAGTTCAGTTGTCACTGAAACACTCAGAATCCTTCTCTGTGAGTCTCTGTGTGAGAGAGGCAGATTCAGAAACTGAGACTGTCACACTCAGAGAAAGGCCACTAGCATTTCACACCCATTTCTTTCATTTGCTAGCTTTCCCATAACAGAACAGCAGAGTGCACCAGCAGCTAAGTTTATTTCAAGGTTTACCCCTTAGTTAATTAATACATACATGACACTGTAAGGACTTTTGTATATGCCCTTTATCACAGGATTCTTAACACATACATATTTATTGGAGTCAGGATTTGTCTTGCATGGTCTCCAATCCAGCTTTTACTTAAAACTACAGGAATATATGTGGAATATTTATAAAAAGAGGTCTTTCTCAGGTTTAACATGCATTATGATTTGGGGATTCTTGGCTTTTTCAATGTTTTAAGCCAAAAAACAATGGTGTAGGATTTAAACTATTTTAGATGTTAGGCAGATGCTTGGTAACTAATTTGTGCAAGAAAGTTTTAACTGTGATCAAATAAATGTGCATAACAAAACAAATGCACCTAATAGTCCATCCAACTTCATTAGTGAAATGTGCAGAATCTTGCTGTGTCTATCTGCGGGAGAGTAGGACTTACCATGATGCATGTCTTCTGCTCTTTACAGCCTTTCCTCTTAAGTTACTTTGATGCCCAGTCCACTTTAATACAACATAACATTTCCCAGAAAACCAACTGCCACATTTCCATAATTCAGCCATAAAGAGTTCCCAAATTCATATGTACTTCTGAAAGTTAATAACAAGGTAACATTGCAAGGATTTCAGAGATCAAACTACAAATTTCCATATACAATTTGATATATTTTCAATAAGTATTTCATATTAATAAGGAACATTTGTATATATGTTTTTCTTTTGTTTGTTCATTTAACTTATATTTGGCAAAAAAAAACAACCCCATCAGGCCATAACAAACTTCAACATAATAAAGATCCATGGGATCAAACATGTAATAGAAAGTGACCTTCCTCTGTCACTTAAAGATTCTGCTCTTACTAAGAATCCACCTTGGGAAAGATACTGACTTTATTGTTTCTGCTGGCTTTTCTTTCTGTTTTACACTTAGGCTGTTTTGTCTGGATTAGCTCTTCAGGGGTATTCCCCAAAGGAGGCAGGAGTCGCTTCTTATTGTTTCGGTTTTCTGAGAGCCACTGTGGAGGCAGCTCAAAGGGTCCAAAACCAAACTGCATGGCATACTTGTCATTCACTGTATCAGTTTCTGTGGGCACAGCTGGGGCCACCTGAGCTGCAGAGTCTGCAATTGTCTGTGGTATAAACCTGTGAACCGAAGTCTGTCCTAGCTCTAAACCGGTGGTAGGGATTTCTTTCCGTTGAAAGTCACCAGAGCCAATGGATTTGGTCTCATTCTCCTCATCTTCCGTGGGCTTGAAGATTTGTTGTTGCCCGATATGAAACATCTCCAGAAGCTGGCTTCCCGAATGGACACTGGGCTCCAAGTTATCGTCTGCAATACCACCAGAGCTGACGATGTTTCTCCTGCTAAACCTTTGGTGCAGCTGTACTACTGTCCCCACTAAGCACTTCCGTACTGATTTGTTAACAGTTAAAAATAACAAAGGGTTGGCCAGCAAAGAGACCTTGGGCAACCAAATAGCGGTGAGGAGCAAGAAGACTGAAATATCTGAAATATTGAGTATGGTGCGGTAAATCACCAAAGTCACATAGGGGACACTGCAGAAGATAAATATCATAACCATAGAAAGCAGCATGATGTGGAGCTCAGCTTCTCGCTGGGAGGCATATGGGATAGAAACTGTATTTTGAGGGGTCCTTAATGCAGCTATGATGACTTTTCTCTTCTGGCTGGCACTCAGCGCTCTGCGAATAAGAATCATAAAGAGAAACACCACAGCCACTGGTACAATCACAGTGGTGATATTATAAATGACAACATATATCAGGTGGCCAAGGGAGTAACTCCAAGATTCAGAGCAAGTGGACATGGCATAAATATCAGACACATTGGTCACAGCAAATACTGGAATGCTGGCCACTATTGCATGGGCCCAGATATAGATAACCAGGTCTCGGGATTTTGCATCAGATATTTTTCTTTCCAGAGGGTATAAAACAGAGTAGTATCTGTCAAAAAAAAAAAAAAAAAATTATTTTCACGTGCATACTGCTTATGAGAAACCTCTCAGGAGCCATCTGAGCATAACATTCCAAATCCCTAACTGGGCTGCCAACTGACTACCCCTTTATGAAAGAAAAACAAAACAAAAAACTACAACCCCCCCACACACACCCCCAAGGTCTGCCTTTGCAGGTCTGTCTATAGAAAAACCTGAATATTTAAATGTCAAGATCACATTTCTGGTGGTGAAAATTTCTTTCAATACATCATTTTGGCTGATGCATATGAATATTATTTTTAAGATTTCACCATCTACTTACTTGTAAACTAGACAACACATTGCACTCAAAATTTCAAAACACATGATGGAGACACATGCAACATTCAAAGACCAGACTCATAGTTTTAAAAGTTGCTTTATAACAGACTTTTTCTGGATATTTGGAAAAAGCTGTTGGCCACAGATTACATGTATCAATCTATTTGAAGTACAATGGTGTTTTGCTTTGCACAAGCTGTGGTTGGCAAACCCTGAGCAAAAGTGTTGCTGAACACTGAACACTTTTTGTGCAAGTAAAAAAATAAAATAGTGCATCTCTGACATGCACTTCAAATTTCAGATACTGATTGTTTCCTTACTACTGGAGTACTGCTGAGGACTTTTAAGCTCACAGAGTTTTCGTGACAGACCAGACTTTTCACATTTATCATTATACGTGATAGGAGTTTGTGCTTTTTCTGAGGCAGACCACAAGTTCTCATGGAGAAGGGTAAATTATATGCTGCTCCAGTGGCAACATTGGTGTGCATTACAGATAGTGATACCACATTTATCAAGACAAAGGGAGAAAGAAGAAAGAAAAATCCAGGATCATAGCAAATTTTCCCCATTACCTGTCAAGAGCAATGGCTGGAAAACTAAGGATGGTCACTGAGCAGAAGACTTTGTGCAGAAACTTGGCAATTCTGCAGAAGAGCATCGTATAGATCCACCAGCAGCAGTGTGGACTGGCACTAAGAGCAATGTCAAAAGGCACACAGACCAGGCTGGCACAGATCCCCGAGCAGGCCAAATTCTTAATGAACCGGTTGGTTACAGATTTAAGTAGCGATGTTCTGCAAGTTGACCACAGCACCATGATGTTACCTGCGAGTAAAGACAGGAAGCATAAAAAGAGGAAAACAGAAAAACAACTAACCCCAGGCCGCAGTAACAATAATCTTAACAAATTTGAATGTTCCCTAGTACTGCAAATGAAAATAATTGTTTGGAATTTTCCAGGTATCACTGATTTGGATCATGATGCTGCTCAAATTCAGAAGCCTGTAAGGACTAGTGGCTTTATGAATCAGAAGGCTGAAAACAATTACACCCCAGCTATCCCCTCCCAGCTCCTGGTAATGAATGAACTAGGGGATTTCAGAGGCAAATGCCTAAGAAAATTATCCAAACCATATTTTTAGATACTTATGTTGATTCCTGTATTAAATGGTCCATCCTGAATATTCAAATACAGAAATTGGTTAAAGTGTTCATATAATATTTATATATATATTAATATTTAATAAATAGTACAGAATTCTTTTTTACAGATAAAAATACACTAAGTAAATACAGATACAATTAAAATATAAATGTAAGTATGTAGTTTAATCTGTTTGTAAGTGGATCACAGCAGCTTGCTTTTTTTTTCACTGACCACTTCAATGGCACAGACAGGCCTGTGTAAAGCCACATTCAGAAGAAATCTATCATTCCCCGTCCCCCAGGACATTCTCTAAGTACATAGTAACAAAACAAATGGGACAAGCAGAACAGAAAAAAAAAAATAAAAATACTTGATGCATGTAGCTTCACAGAAATACACACATAATGCAACCTGCTGATTCGGATATTCAAGATCTACACATTCATTTCAAATAGGGTGGATGGACAGCAGTGAAACAGAAGTACAGGGGAAAAAGCCCAGGATTAGCTATGGCAGTATTTTTCCTTTATCACTGCATTCCATCCAAGTCTCAGAAAGAAATATCGTATGACAGACACATCACAAGTTCTCCATCACAAATTTCCCTATGATTCTATCTTACACAGCAACAGTGCAAGAGTAAATTAAGTGATCTGATCTTACACCATGGGCCCCTTCTAATGCATATCAAAATACCATAAAACTCACAGAATTTTCTCTCTCCTTTAAAAATCTGTCTCTAGAATGATCATAGAATGACAGATAGTTTGGGTTGGAAGGGACCTTAAAAGATCATCTTGTTGCAACCCCCTGCCATGGGCAGAGACAATTTTCACTAGGCCAGGTTGCTCAAAGTCCCATTTAACCTGGCCTTGAACACATCAGGGATGGGGCATCCACAATGTCTTTGAGGAACCTGTTCCAGTGCCTCACCACCCTCACAATAAATAATTTATTGCTAATATCTCATTTAAACCTGCCCTCTTTCAGCTTAAAGCCATTTCCCCTTGTGCTATCACTACATGCCCTTGTAAAAAATCCTTTTCTAATCAGCTCTCTTGTAGCCCCCTTGAAGTACTGGAAGGCTGCAGTAAGGTCTCCCTGGAGCCTTTCCTTCTCCAGGCTTAACAACCCCAACTTCTTTAGCCTGCCTAGATCAAATGCTTCAGCCCTCTAATCTGTGGAGGCAAAGATCTCTGCGAGCACAGCTGAGTGGGGCGCACTCAGGTAACATCACCTAACAACATCGTGTAACCTAGTCCCAGCTTTCCAACCCTGACTTCACAGACATTCTTTTTCTCCTTTATTTGATTTTTCCCAAAGCTGTACTATGCAGTACCGCCAGATCAGTCAAAGCACAGCTACCAGCATACAAATACTGCTCGACAAGACAACTGCATTTATTCTCTGCAGCTGGACAGCATGCAAAGTAGAGTTTAGTTTCCCACCTCCGAGCAAAGTTAAACTGCTCTTATTGCAGACCATATCAACAGCCACTTTGTGGATACTCTATACTGTTGACACCAGAAGTTCTTTTGAGTTGAAGTGCAATTATTTATGTGGCAGATTTGTTAGCATTTTTGTAGGTTACCTACAAATAGACATAATGAGAGAAAACAGCATCTTAAGCTGCTGATTGAAATATGAAAAAGCAGCTGCAGTCCCCCAACACTTCTCTGTTGACATTAACATTCTTTGCCTTGATTGGTCCTCCAATCAATAAAAAACCCCAAGCTTTCATGTTTTTAAGTAGTTTTCCTATGGCTGTCCATGTAAAATACCAGCAAGATCATATGCTTGTTCACATGGCCAATGTGTATACCAAGTGGCAAGTACCAAGAACTAGCAATAAGTCTAGTTCTGCTTCTTGATAACACAGCACCGTTTCAACAGAAGTATGCAATATTAAATTTAAAATCTGCCTCACAGACCTCCTATTTCAGTCTGCAGTACCAGAATGTCATTTGGGATTTAATTTTCTATATATTGTGTCATGTGTCTTATGCAAATTCCTTTTTGATACTGACAAAATATTGAGTTGAGTTACATCTCTACTATCTGATGTATTTTAAAGAAGGGAATCATCACCTGGTTTTGGCAGGTGCTTTGGGCTCGACAATGTATTCCTCGAGCACTATTCAATCAGTTGTATTTAAAGCTTTCTAAGTTGCTAGGAGATACTCTGTCAATCAAAAAGCTTGCTTTCAAAAATATCTCAAACTCTGCAGCAATTAGAAAGTACTTCTAACAGTAATAACATATTTTTACAATGCCCTGGAGAGGGGAGAAAACAGACTTTTGTTGTGTGGTTTTGTTTGTTTTAAATTAATTTAAATCTTTCATCTAGTTACAATTGCATTGATTTTATAACATTAATTCCCAAACAAGTTTCATCTTCATTAGAATTAATATAAATGAAGAATGGAAAACTAAAAGAAATCAGAAGTGTTTTCATTAATACTTCAGAAGCCTCTAGAGAACTGCTGAGCTGCTCTTCAGGGTCCTGCAGAGGAGCTTCATTCAAGACTCCATATTCTCAGCTGTTGAATTACTTCTACAAATTATGTCATTTATACATCACTTACAAGGAAATTAAATTAACTCTGGTTCTGACTTAGGAAGAATGAAGTGTGAAAAAAAGTATTGGTTCCAAGACAAGGAGGAACTCTTTAAACAGATAAAATAAAATCAGAGTCTGAAAGGCAAAAAAGGATAAGCAGAGAGAAGTGTCCACTTGGGACACTGGAAAATTAGTCACAGAATATCTCTCAGGGAAACGTTATTTTTTCATTTGCAACTATGATTTATCTATTAATAAACTGCTCTAATGAACCAGATCAGCTTTAGTATAGACTGGTAGATTTTTGTGCTGATGCCTTCGAATCAAGTATTTCCTTCATGCATCCCAAAGCAGAGGAAAAATTACACCGGAATCTTTGCATGGCATTAAATGTAAGAAGCTGTGGAACAAAACTGCAAACATTTCCCATTTCATTGTTCCTCAATTTTCCCCAGCAACTTCTTTCCATAGAAGAGAATAACACTGTTCCAGGCAACAGGGCAATTCAACAAGCTGTTGTGCTCTGAATAGCAATTGTGCTCTGAGTCTTTTCACAATGTCTAGAGGCACTTTTCCACTCTCCATGTATTAGTCATTTACTGATGAACCTAGGAAAATTTTATTCTCTTTAGATTACAACTGTACTGGGCTTTTGCACATCCTCACAGTGGGCAAAGCTGTTATTTTCTACCATAGGTTAGTTCCAGAAGGGTTTCTACTGGATCACCAGTCTAGAGCTACATAACCTTGGATCCAAACTTCCCATGGGGTTTGTACTGGTTAGCTGGGGGACATACAAGAAAAACTGGAGTGAACAACCAGCTGGAAAATACAGCATCTTGCAATTTCCTCTAAGTCAATACTGTCAGAACATGCATGACATTTATAAGAGATCACATTTCAAAAAGCATATCCCATATTGCCAAGTTCCACCACTAATGCAGAAAGATAAAGAGTTTTCAATTTAAAAAGGAAAAGCATATCTTTGGTCATCTCAGAGAGCTGTACCTACATAAAACACGACACCTGACATTATTTGACAACCTTCTCAGTACACAGACTGACTGAGCAGGACACAAAAATCAGGCTTAGAATAGAATAGCTGAAGTTGGAAGGGGCCCAGTGAGGTTCTTTGACTCCCTCAAGACTGCCTACAACTAAACCCTATGACTAAGAGCATCATCCAGACACTCCCTGAACCCTGTCAGGGTTGATGCTGTGACCACTTCTCCAGGGAGCCTGTTCCAGTCACCAATCACCCTCTTGTAAGGTGAAGAACCTCTCCCTAATGTCCCATCTGGGCTTCAGATGCAGCTTGATTCCATTTCCTTGTGTCCCACTCCTGGTCACCAGAGAGGGGAGATCAGCACCTCCCATTCTGCTGCCCTCCGTGAGGAAGGTGTAGACTGAAATGAGGTCACCCCTCCTCCACCTTCTCTCCTCCAAGATGAACAAACTAAGTGACCTCAGCTGCTCCCCATAAGGAGCTCATCTGTTCCTTTGACCATTTCTCCAAGTAAAAACTAAATGTGAAATATTAAAGGTAACCACTGCAAGAGAAGCAGCTCTTTTCACATTAGAAACATGTTTAAAGCCTGCCGAGTCAGAATTTCTTTTATTGTGTTATTATCATAACTATCAATATTCAATAAATCTCCATGTACTATATACCAACTAACTCTATTGTACAAGATTGAAAAGATGATTGTTTCTAGTCATCCCGTTTTTTTTTTAATTGAGAAACATCATAGATAAGCAGCCACACAGTACATTATTTGCACAGAAGTACACTGAGAAAGTAAATACAATGGTTCACCACAGCATGCTGCCCAGAAGTCCTTCTAGCCTTTACTGTGGTTCAAGTTCACTGAACCTGCAAACATTAACCTTCTCTGACCATGAAATGGTTATCAGAGTACATTAGTCTGATTCAGAGCAGCAAAACTTACTTTTGCTCCCCTTCCAATTTGTACTGCTTGAATTTCACTGCCAGACGCAGTATGTTGATGGAGGCATCAACAGCTGAGATAGTCCTGAAGTACTAGCTTTTAGCAATACTTCAAATAATGTGAAAGAGTCTTAAAAATACCTTTAACAAGCAGAAGTAAGATCACCATGGAAACCAGAGACAGTTATCTTAAGAAATCCATTTGCCATGCAGTCATCCAAAAAAAACAAAAATAAATACTGCTTTTTGTCAATTAATTCATGGAACTCAATCCATTCACTGGGTATGACATCCATCTCACATTTTTGTTAAATTTAATCAGCACACAACTGAATCAAAACAAAGTCCACACTCCAGAAACATCCTCCTCCTCACAACATGCTGTCCTCTGCTTGCTCACTTCCCTCCAGAGCAGGGTTCCAAGAAACCAGCCAGCTTTCCTAGCAGACAGCCCTTGCATACCCACCCACACTGCCTGCATTGTCACAGGGAAGGAGCTGGCAGCCTTATTTATGAAAAAAACAAAAAACAAAAACAGGAAGCCACAAAACCGGTTAGAAACTAGGCTTTAGCCATTAAAATTGCTCATTAAAAACTAACTGAAAAAGTCACAGTTTCTGTGAACACGGTGAATGGGAAAAATTCTCATGTTGAAACACCAGTGATCAAATTCTCAACTCTCCAATACTATTTATTATTGTTTTTTGAAGTATTTTGAGGAAGGTATTTTTGAGAGAACTTACTCTGACAAACCACACTCCAAAGAAGTGATTAATTTGAAACATTTTTTACACCCATGATAGGTAGCCATAAAATACTTTTCTTATTAATAAATAAGTTTACCTATTCATTTCCAGAAAGAATATGGATATGTCAGGATACATTTTGGCTTACACAGCTTGAAAAAAACGTGTAAATTTATCACAGGATCATAGAATCACAGAATGGTTGAGGCTAGAAAGGACCTCTGAAGATCATGTCAGGAAAACCCTACTCAAGCATGGATAAATTTTTGCAATTCTTTATAATTCTTAATAATTCTTTCTATATGAGTTTGAAGAACTGTAGCTATGAGACTGATGGAATAACCTTTACATAAAAACAAAAAGTAAACTTCTTGAAACCAAATCCAACCTTTTCTAACATTTTTGCTACCAACT